CATTGAAGTCAATGGGGACCCGAACTTTTGGGCACAAAAAATGCCTCTAAAAAAGTCCTGGAAAGTGCTAGAGGGCTGCAAAAGGAAGTAAAATGGGGGTAAGAGTGCAAGTGCCCTGCAAACAAATGTGGATAGGGAAATCACTTAAAATAACATAAAATACATAAAATAAGCAGCCGCTTAGTAGATAACTCCCTAATTCCCACAGTATTAGGGAGCTATCTACGAAAAGGCCGAAAGACCTAAATTGGTCTTTCAGACAAATTTACTAATACTAAGCTATACCGCGAGTAGGGGCGTGTTTAGTAAACAGTGAGCAGCCACTGGCTGCTCACTGTTAAAAAAAAACACCTATTCCCCCACCCCTGTGCGACAGGTGGGGGCCCTGATTAAGAATGTGGACGGGGGGACCTACTGTTCTCCCCCCGGCCCCCACCTCTGAGCGGCGGGTGGGGGCCCTAAATAACAATAAGGTGGGGGGACTTAATGTCCTCCCTCCCAGCCCCCACCCGTGAGCGGCGGGTGGGGGCCCTAAATAAAAAGTCACCCCCCAAAAAATTACCCCTACCTACCCCCCTCATCCTAAAAATAATGAGGGGGGACCCTTATCTAAATACCTGTAAAAAAAAAAAATAGACTTACCATTTGATGTCTTCTTTCTTCTAAACTCTTCCATAATAACCAACGCCACAGGCTGCTGACTGTTTAATAGACATGCCCCTACTAGCTGGGTCACATGCTGCACTGGCCAATCACAGCCATGCCATTAGTAGGCATGGCTGTGATGGCTTCTAAGGGCACACGAGTCAAATGCTTGTTGATTGGCTGCCCTGTAGCCTTTCAAAATGAGTCATTAAATCGCTGAACACCGAACTCCAACCCGAACATACAGTGTTCGGGGTCCAAAAAACTTAATGTTCGGTACGAACCCGAACTTTTAAGTTCGGGTTCGCTCAACTCTAGTGATAAGCAGTTTATCCCTCGCACACAATTCCATGTTTAACACAAGTGTGGGGAACTGCTCTATAAACTAATGGCTATTTCACGGTTGCTATCACTTTATACACAGACTGTCTCCCAACTTTGTAGACTGGCTGTGTGCATAGCTTGGCAAAGGGAAGCAAGGAGCAAAAAGACATTCTTTACACTTCTGTGTGTGGTGTGTTGATGCTGCAGGCACATTATCGACTCAAAATTCATAAAAAAGGTGAAATAAAAATTACTCCTTGTTGTATGTGAGCCAGGGGTCCTGGCTTATAGTTGTACAATTTTCTATAGATTGCTGCAGTTATAGGTCACTCTCAAAACTAAGGGTGCAGGGTACTCAATGCACTGTAAAGTTATGAGGCTTAGACTGAGCTTTGAATAGCCTTTTGTGTACCTCACTTGGACCATTGTGATTCTAACTCCTGGTCTGACCCGACCTTGCTATTAGATTGTCCCTTGTGTACCTAACTTCGACCTTTGTTTTTCGGGACTCTGAACTCAGGCCTGACCTGACAACTCTGTTGGATTGTCCCATGTACCTCACTTGGACAATTGCTTCTCTGACTCCTGGCCTGACCAGAACCCATTTCTGGTTTTACCCCATATTAGCTCTGGTATATGCAAACTTGGCTCCTGTCCCCCAACAAGACAAGTATGAACTGGAACAGAAAGAGTGAGCCTTATGCTTCATCTCATACCAAGATGGGAATGCCCAGCTTCCTTGCACAAATGTGTCATCCTTCCATTGTTATATATAGGATGCCCAGTTCCCTTATGGTCCATAAGGGCTGCGCCATCAGGTTCTGTGCTACATTGTATCATAATGAAGGGCATCCCACAGCCAAATAGTACCAATGTACCTATCAATTAATTCATACTTCATTACTAATGCCCCTAAATATGCCTGGGCGTAGGGAGGTTTCTTCCACTACATTTAAACTGTATGGCAGGGATGTCCATAAGATGGATTCCTTGTTGTTGAACTACAACTACCATGATGCTCTAACAGCCTCGTGTTTTTGTTCTACAACTTAGAGAGCAATGTTTAGGCTACATCTGCTGTTAAAAAAATATTTTTTTACTCACATAGTGTCATGATAGTTTCATGTGGTGAACTGTGTCGGGGAAGCCATGGGTTTAATGTTGTGAACCTTTGCAAAATACCCTGCTGTGTGCAGCAATTATAGCTTATTTTATTTGTTGTGTGTAAACTGCATGGTTTGGAGACATTTACAACAGATATCTGGTTCTAAGGTTGAGTGCTGTTTATCATTAGGCCTTATCAGACATGGCATTAGTGGGGGCTTGAGAAACAACACAGCACATGCAGTGTATATTGTAATTTCAATGAGGGGTCATTCACTTAAAGTTTGTGACTTCAGATACTATTTTATTGTGAGGGCAGTGTATTTAAAATATATACCATGTTTGGTCCTAAATTGATTGTCTGGATGCAGCAAGGTGACCTAAAATTATTATTATTATTATTATTATCATTATTATGGTTACAAATATATTGCATTGCATATTTTATATCTAGGCTTGGAATACACTAATTGCCTCTTATATACCTGGAATTCCTGCCCGTTCTCCCCCTCCTCAGTATTAAAATATTTCTATAATAAATAAATATTCCATGCATGCACTGTGACTATGTTCATAGTAAATGTCACTTTATTACGTGCCTTTGTCTGGTATAAGAATCATGTTTCCCAAGAGACTACATATACAGTATGCCAATTCACCGATGGAAGTGTGAGGAGGGATAATACAGTGGACATTGAAGAAAAATATATCATTCAAGGCTGCTTTTACATCAGAAAATTTGTGAGTGACCAATTGTGACCACACACTGTTATTAACCCCCACACAGTTAAACGCTATGTTTTTTTTATTTTATTTGTATTTAGCAGATTATCCCCTATTCTATTTGTATGTGTAGTAATACTGTGGTTTCATAGATATATTTGCTAATTTGTGTTTTGTGGGGTTTAATCTAATTTGATTTAGGAACCTAGGACTATAAACTTTTTATCCTGGTGGTGGCAGCTTATATAATAAATTAAGTGTTGGTGATATTAAAGAGATTTTTAACATTATTTTGGGTGTAGTGCAAATAGTGATTTATAACCCTTTTACCCTTTGAAGCAAGTCACGTGCATGACTGGAGTGACCTGGTTCGTGACTCCTAGTCCAGCTCTGACTTCTATAATTGAATATATTTATCCTCCACTGTACAAACAGCACCTCTCACACACACATGGCACTCACACAGCACCCCCCTCCCCACACACACAGCACCTATCATACACACACACAGCAAAACTCACACACAAACAGCACCTCTCACACACGGCACCCACATAGCACCACACACACACACAGCACCACAGCACTGAATGTATTCAGCAGTTTGTGTGTACTTATTGTATGTATTGCATTTGTTGGAGGTACTAATAAATATAAGCTTAATTTTATCTATAATTTAATTTTTTATTCCTGTGATTTGTGTGTGCACAAGCAGTGCACTGCTTTGCCTGGGGGCCCAAAATGTTGTTAAGATGGAATTGGATGGGGGGGAAGAGTTGGTAGACGGATTATATTGACACTCATCCTGCTGCCTGTAATATTATGGAATAGGAAGGTCTATGTTGTCAGATCGATCCAGGATAATAGTCTGGGATAATAGCATGTACAGACACACCATGGCGCTATAGAGTGGTTCCTGCAGAAACTGGAGGAAAGCTTCCAAAGATTCTGGGATACCCTGGCTGCAAGACAAGTTAGAAACCTGACAAATGAAGCGGTATGTGGAGGTGGCGGACAAGGGGAGCCCAAGGCCACTTCGGGCACAGCTTTTCCTAAAGCTCCGGTTGCACCTAAGAAGCGCCCACTTGGGCCGAGGCCATCAGGGGACCAACCCCAAAGCTATCTCCCATGCAAGCGGAAGGCCACCCGCCACCGGCGGTGATTACCCACCAAGGTCGTCTGCTTTCCCCACAATGGGGTAGACTTGGACTCAGTGAGCCTCCGAGTCCGTGGCTTTGTGATACATGCTTCGATACCGGCCTGGGGCTGCGAACAGGCTTTGGCTCGCCGCATACGAGATGCCATCCTGAACATATGGAGTGTCAACCAGCGGAAACCCACGCGCGGCATCGGATGAACGCCTGATTCTCTTCAGTGACATCAATGTCTATATAGCAGGGAAACAGGCCTATGTGCACAATGCTTTAGGGGGAATCTGGGGCCTGGCGGCATTACAGCTAATCCGCTCAGTCATATAGTTTAGCATGTTATATGTTTTGGAAATTTCCTGTTGTTTTACATGTCTAGCTAGCCTACCGCTTTACCTACACGCAAACTTGCCTACAACTAGGACATGAAATTAAAGTCTGACAAGTTATTAATTATAAAATTGTGCACATTTTCTCATGTGTCCAAATGTTATATAGATGTTGATTAGCTTGTGGATTGCCATTGGGGCATCTCAAGCATGTTGTACACTTTGGCACTGCAAAAATATAAAATAAAATTTTAAACAATTGTAAAATTTACAGCAAATTCTCACTACAGTAAATAACTCAGTAATTACCAGTTGCTCCCATGTTGACCTGAGTCATCCGGCAGCGTTTGGAGGATTGGAGCCCTCCAACGTCAATTTATATTGTTCTGCAATATTGTATTGTAAAGTTCTATGGAATATGTTGGCGCTATATAAATACCAGTAATAATAATAATTATTATAATAATAATAAAATATATGAAATCAGATTTCAAAAATCAAGGATTCAAACTCACATAATACAGTTTACAAAAGTAAGTATGTTTTGGCAATAGCAAAAATAAAAAATAAATAATAGCACTTTACGCAATTATGATCTAAATATGAAATTCACGTTGACTTCTTACTTTTAGTGAATAACCCTCTTTAGGAAAAACTACAAATCCCTGCATGCAACGCGGCACAGGAGTCTACCTATAATGCGCATGTGCAGACAGTTGGACAGTTCTGGTGACCAGCAAGGCGAACGTGGACACGGACGGTGGCGCCCATTGGGTGCCTTGTTGGATCCCTCCCACATCTATCTGACTGGGTGGGCAAGGTGAGGTGGCGCGTGAGCAGGAGGCTGCAGGCAGCGCTGGACACGTGACCCAACACAGCTGTCAAACGGCTCGCGCAGAAGCGCGGGAAAGTAAATAACTGCCAGCCGGAGGCAAAATGGCGGCCTGACAGGACGAAGGGAGGAGGGGGTATACTCCGGTGAGGAGGCGCAGCTCCCGCCCGCCGATATGAACGTAGTGCGGTTAGTATGCCGCCATAAGACGGCGCTGGGCCTGGCCGCCCTGTCTCTATTCGCCGTAGTGCTGCTCTACCTGGCCAAGTGCACCTCAGAGAGCCTGAGACCGGCGGATCCCCGGGGGTTCCCTCAACAACAGCCCCCCCGGTACCCGCAGCGGCACCCCCTCCCCGGCCCTGCCGAGCTGCAGCCCCCACCGCCGCCCGAGAAAACCGCCTCGGCCTTCCTGGCCGTGCTGATCGTCAGCGGGCCCAAATACACCGAGCGGCGGAGCATCATCCGCAGCACCTGGCTATCCGCCGCCTCCCGGGGGGGAGAACATGGCGGCGGCGGGGGGCAGCTGTGGTGCCGCTTCGTGCTGGGCACGGCCGGCCTAGGGGAGGACGAGGCCGCCTCGCTGGACATGGAGCAGCGCAGACACGGGGACCTGCTCCTCCTGCCTGAGCTCCGGGACTCGTACGACAACCTGACCGCCAAGCTGCTGCACATGTACGTCTGGCTGGACCGCCACGTCGACTACAAGTTCGTCCTGAAGGCCGACGACGACACCTTCGCCCGGCTGGACGTGCTGCTGGAGGAGCTGAAGGCCAAGGATCCCAGGAGACTGTACTGGGGCTTCTTCTCGGGCCGGGGCCGGGTGAAGTCAGCCGGCAAGTGGAAGGAGAGCACCTGGCTGCTGTGTGATTACTATCTGCCCTATGCCCTGGGAGGGGGCTACGTCCTGTCCTGGGACCTGGTCAGATACCTGAGCCTCACCAAAGACTTCCTGGCCCACTGGCAGAGTGAGGATGTGTCTCTGGGGGCTTGGCTTGCCCCCCTGGACGTCAATCGGGTGCACGACCCTCGGTTTGACACGGAGTACAAGTCCAGGGGTTGTAATAATAAATATATCGTCACCCATAAGCAGAGCATAGAAGATATGTTGGAGAAGCATCAGACACTGGCAAAGGAAGACAAACTGTGCAAAGAGGAAGTGAAGCTGAGGTTATCCTATATCTATGATTGGGGAGTACCACCATCCCAGTGCTGCCAGAGGAAGGATGGCATCCCTTGATATCCCCATTTTTCCCAATATATTGAATCTAGGAAATATTCCTAAATGGTACCAGTGTACACGTAACCAATATGGACCAAACCTAGGCATTTGTTTTAAGATGGGAGAAAAGTATATATTTGAATTAATATGGTTTATCTGCACCATGCACTTTGGATATCTGGCACATGCCAGTGTTTGACTAAAGCTGGAAGAAGAAAAAAAGCTCTGCTTATATTTATTTTTTTAGCAATTCCTTATGTCAAGTGTAGTTGGTTTTTGTTTTTGTGACAATTGCTTTAGTCATGTCTCTCGTCAATAAGAATTGTACACGTGTATGTTAATGTTATTTTACAATTATCTTGTCTCAGGGGTCAGGGATAAAGGTTGTTTATCCCAACTGGATTTTGAGCAGCTATGTTTGTCTTCTAACTGGTGACATGAGCCATTCAATCTATACAGGCTGTTACAGATGGCATGCTGTGGGTATGACTGTTCTTTAGCTCAACCTGCACCATGTTTTTAAACCTTTTACTTTCCAAGCAAAAAAACATTCTTAGCTTTGTACTTAGCCGTGTGTGTCTTGAATGTCCTTTTATTTTGGCAGCTAAGTTTTGTGTATCAAATGGTGAATATATTGTAGAATAAGCCGATGGTTATCCAGCGATAGTATTTTTACTGTATTAAAAGTATATCCTTTCTAGTAATTGGCTTCCAGAAGATCGTATTCTGCAGTGATTCTAGCATTGTTACTTGATTGGGGCACTCTAAGGACACTGCCCTAATGTTAAGAGTAAACCCATTTTCAGTTGGTTTGACACCTGGCATCCACAGTCTGGCTCCTCTTCACATATATCACTAAAGCAGAAGTTCCCCTTCTTGATACTTAGTGATTTCTGTCATGACACAAACTCAATATTGCTCATTTGAATTTGGATACAAACACTTCTTAGCAATATTTGTGAAGAGGAATTGAGCCGGAAGTCCCAGCTAAGTGTCAACTGACTTGCTAAAAATGGAATGACAGTCACTAGTGTGCTGTAGTGGTTATATTGCTTAGAGTGCGTATTTAATCCCCTTAAGGACTCTGTATTTCTGTGTTATTACAAAACTTTAAAGATCTTCTATACAATGTCCCAGTTATTAAATGGAAAACTCCAATTATAAGCATTGCATACATTCAGTGCCTGCACAGCAGTCACCACAGTCCACCCATACAAAGCATCTCTATGACAATTTGCACAGCAGGCATACAGCTTTAGCATAGTTTGCATGCCACCACCAGATGTAAAGTACATTAAATTATTTAATCATTTTATTCCAAATACTCTACTGGCTGTCTGACTGCAACTAGAAATGTGGGTTTTGTTTTTCAAATGGTACGGTTTTCAACTGGAAGGACAGAATCTATTGCCCAAAATCTTCTTTAAGAGTAATTTATTTTGGTGATTAGACTTTCTCTTTAATAAATTCAAAACCGTATAATGCTCAGATACAAATTAAGCAGGACATTCCATATTTGCATTGGATCCAGATGGACCAAATTGTGGCTCTTAAGATGTTTATGCACATATTCTGGGCTGAAATATTGTCTGAACATTAAACTTATTTTAGCCTAATGTCTTGGATATCATATATATATATATATATATATATATATATATATATATATATATATATATATATATATATATATATATATATATATATATATATATATATATTGCTTTCAGATCATGTGTAAGATGTATGTATTTATAGTTAAGACACTCAAAGCGTTTTTGTGGGTGCACTGTAGTATAACGTAAACCTATCTTGTGCCCTAGTGAAGGCATCTGTGTAATGCAAGGGATTTTTGCAGTAGCACACACAACATGCATCACAATGTAGAAAATGTGCATGTTTTTATTAATTGCTTATTCCATTACATTCCTTATTTCACTTTTTAAAGTGTGACTTCAGTGCAGCTTAATCTTGAGGTAGTTTTTGTATGAGAGGCAAAATATTGAAAAGGGCATGGCATTGAGTGAAAAGGGCACTCCTGGTTGGATATATGGATATATATATATATATATATATATATATATATATATATATATATATATATATATATATATATATATATATATATATATATATATATATATTAATTATTATTTTTTCCTACAAACACAGAATCTCAAGTGGGCCAAAATATCTAAGCTGGAAAACTTGATCTATTTTGGGAGTTTTTGCCAAAAATTGGTAATTATCTGATCATTTCCTAGTATTGTGGCCAAAGGGACCGTCTGTAATTGAAAATGTGATTTATAATAATGTATACGCATCTAACGTTATTGCATTTAAAAAATATACACATTGTAAAACAACTAAATACAAAATTAATCCCTGCGCTCAAACTCCCATTACTGCATGGGCGGCAGCAATGACTAGAGTATGCATCAACCCCAATACGTACAATTAAAACAAGTTACTTTAAAAAAAAATGTAGAAAGGCATTGTTTGGGGTGTTAGTGAACAGTTTAACCTATTGAGGTAAGAGTACTCCTGGCTCCATAAGTTTCATTTTGATGACGTTTTTCTTTCCAGAAGTGCCTCTTGAAGATTGCCAAGTGTAGGGAAAAATATAGTCCCTACTTTTGTCTTATGTTTTAAAGAGAATTAGATCAGAAATGAAGAAAAGTACAGCTTCTGGAAGAGGAAACAATTGGAGAAAGTAAGGTTTGAGGTGCCTGAGCCACTTGAATACCAAACCATCCTTGTGTAATGTTTCATAGTTTCTCTTTAACATTTCAGTTTGTCACAGTATAAATGTTGCAATAACGTGCTAGAAAAATCTGAGCGCTATGACTGTAGTGGTTTGGAGCTGAGTCATCTGTGCCCCTATCTCTCCCACCTGTTTTCTGTCAAACTATCTCTCACCAACACAAAAGTCCAGCTCACCAGACTCCTAATGCCATACCGACCACAATGACCAATGCGAGTTGTGGTGTTTTAGACTGTATGATTTTGAATTATAATATACCTCTACAAAAAAGTATTTGTGAATAAGTTCTCAGAATAATCAGCATTTGAGGTACCTGTAGCACTAATAGTTGTTTAAATGTATGTAGCCTGTAAGCCAAGCTACCGTATATACTAGAGGATAAGTCGACCCGAATATAAGTAGAGACCCCTAATTTTACCCCCAAAAAACTGGGAAAACTTATTGACTCGAGTATAAGACTAGGGTGGGAAATGCAGCGGCTACTGGTAAATTTCTAAATAAAATTTATATCCCCCAAAAATTATATTGACTATTTATAGTGTGTATGAATGTGGGGTGTGTGTGTGTGTGTGTATGAGTATATAATGCAGTGTATGTATGATGCAGAGCCTTGGTGGGGGGGTGGGCATTTTTTTTTTATATTTAATTTAAATCTTTATATTTTTGTCCCCCCTCCCTGCTTGATACCTGGCCAGGGAGGGGGCTCTAATTCCCTGGTGGTGCATTGGCTATGTAGGAGGGGATCTGGCAGCGAGCTCTAACTTACCTTTCCTGCAGCTCCTGAAAGTCTCGCGGTCTGAGTGCCGTGCAGAGCGTTGCCATGGAGACTTGCAGGGGAGCTGACCGGAGGAGAGAGAAGGGAGCTGCAGGAAAGGTAAGTAAATGCTTCCTGCCAGCCCCTAACAGGACCGCTGGGCTTGTAATGAGCCCAGCGGTCCTTGTCTGTATTATGGCAGTGTAAGTTGCCATAATACAGACAGTGACTCGAGTACAAGACACAAAAAATGTGCTGAAAAACTCGTCTTATACTCGAGTATATACGGTACTTGGCTATTTTTTTTTTTTTTCCTTTTATCAAGTATTAATGAATGGGTATTGTAGCTTGTAATGCTTTAAATTAACACCAAGTCAGTGAGTTTGTTTTTAACAGTGGTTCTTATCCCGTAGCCCAGGACATATGTTTATTTATTTTTTTTCCCACACATGCTATTTCAGTGGATCCCTGATGGGATCCACAAGAAATTGGTTACTTTAGCATGTGTGACTTTCTAAGATGTGCTGAGAAATCGGTTAATGATTCAAGTTTGAAACTGAATGGTCAGCAAGCTAAAACTGTGCATTTATTTTGGGTTCCCTGTCAAAAAGTTTACAAACCACTGGTTTATCACCTTAAAGCCAAAGGTTTCATTCCATATGTGGGGTAGCCTGATGCTTTATTGGCTGTGATTAAATCAGTATTGGATTTCAAAAACTGTTCAACCAAAGTGCATGTTTATGAAAGAATTGTTATACGTTAAAGGTAGTTTTTCTCATTTATTAAATATACTTAATTTAAAAAAAATAACTTGCAAAAATATTTTTGACGAGACCCTTGCCCTTTAAAGTAGAACTGTCACCGCCTGGTGTATTTGCAAAGGCACCCAATAAAAACATTGCTGGGGCGAGCAGGCAAAGGTGAGTTTTACTTAAACTTATCCCTCGCAGGTCCTCCCACCATCTTTCTGACAGTTCTATTCTGCTCCTGCTGCTTCAGCAACGAGAGCCGACATCACTGGTGTACTCTTGCACATGTGTTGAAAGAACAGCATTGAGATCAATGGAGGCTCCTGCAAGACAGCTGGTTCCACCATACATAGAGCCAATTCCCTGCAGGCACTGTTGACACTTCTTGACGGCTCTGGCTCTGCCCAGTGCCAAGCGGAGGAAAAATAGAGACAATGTAGTCTCCTACTTTCTTAGTATATCTTGACTGGGTTGGAATTCCAACACTGTCAATGAGTATTTTTAGAAAAAAATTATCCTCATGAAATACACATTTTGCCAGTGACCGTGCTGCTTTAAGAAGGGACTGTAATACAGAGCAGCCTATTTTCTTGACAATGCTAATTAGAGTAAATTCGTACTGGACAGAAAGCAGTAGGTTTTTTTGGTGTTTTTGAAACAATAGAAAGTTGGTGTTCATTACACCTAATGTGCAAAGTAATTGTTTTTAAACCTTTCTACCTGCAGATTGATTAGATTACTTTAATGTTGCATTAAAACTATTTATTGTGTTTTTTTTTTTTTTTAATGCAAGCAACAGGTTGGTGAAAAACCTTTGTCATAATTAAGTGTAATTCACATACAAATCATTTATTACCCAAGAGGTGCATGTTTTTTTTATTTTATATTTAAATAAAGTTGTTTTGTTTTTTTGCATCTGTGTTTAAGTTCTTTGTACATTGACCTGTTTTGGAATGCTTAAGGTACTTTTAAAGAACAATACCGTAGTGCTCGTGTGGTTGTAATCTGTCCCTGAAAGTGTGTCCAGCTTAACATGGGAAAGAAAGAAGAAATATTTTTTTTTCCCTGTGTTGGGAGCTAAAGTGTAGGAAAAGGGCATATAGCATCAAATATTGGCTAAAAAAAATGCAATAAAGAAGCTTTTGATACTACATAATTTAAAATTGCTATATCATGAAAGTGCCTCTTGTGGCAACTTAAACCTGCAAAACAAACACTGCAAAATGGCAATGGTTTCAAGGGAAGGGGGGGGATATGGCACCCACACCACTTCATTGAGTGCTTGTGGATTATCTGTGGTGATTGATATGTGAAAGGTTTGCTTTGTTTCTGGTTTCCTGCCTGTATAAGGTGTGAGCTGTATCTCTAAGGCTCTAATTAGAACAGAAATCATTTGTTGCATGCAGCAAAGTAGGCACTGAACTCCATAAGAAACCAAATTTTCATTCTACTTAAAGGGAAAAATATAGTCAAATTTGTAAATCTCAACGCGCCCCAGGCAAGCATCTGGCTTCTAAAGTTTCAGTTTCAGAAAGCATGGCTTGCTGATGATTAGGAGTGCTGCTGATTGCCTGAGAGTTGTCAACTGATGCTCTGAGCCAATAAGTGACTGCCCATTCACAAAACTGGCTTGAAAAAGGTACGTTTCTTTCAAAGTCAGTTTTGTGAATGGGTAGCTGAGTGGCTGGGAGCATCAGCTGACCACTGTCAGCGGAACTCTGAGATTCCTGAAACTGAGCTTTTTAGAAGCTGGAGGGAGTATAAAGTTGCACTTGAGGCAACTTTGGGGCTAAATCATTTGGTAATTGAACCCATTGCGCTAAGAGTATGCCTGTGGGCCTCTTTACACCGTAACAATTGTATTTAGATGACGTTATGGTGTCTAAAAGTACCTAAACCAATGGTAGTCAACCTTTTTCTACCTAATGCCCACTAATGCATATTTCTTGATGGAAACATTTCCTTACCGCTCACCAGTTTTTGCGCAAGTGCAGAATATTTTTTAGAAAGAAAAATATACGTACATTTATCTTTTTTTATACTTTATGCATATTTATAATGTTAACGTTATAAAGTTTAATGAGAAAGCAATAAAGTAAATTGAAATTACCTTTACTGGTGATTAATGAGATCCTTGAGGTTGATGCTGCAAGAATAAATATTTGATATGTGGTTCGATTTCCGTAAGGAACAAACGAAGGTCTCTTTCGGTGATATTCAGACGATTTCTGTGTTTGCTCAATTTCCCCCCCCCTCCCCCCTTTTTTTTCTATTTTTTTAACCTTCCTTATAGCAGTGCCCAGTAGGAAGGCTGAGCTAAGTAGCTCACTTACTATTATTCGACAACAACCATTCTCTCCTCTTCCATCTTTCTCCTTTTTTACAAGTACTCTGCTCCTTCCTTCTCCTTTTTTTTTTTTTACAAATACGCTGCTCCTTCCTTCTTTCTCCTTTTTTACAAGTACGCTGCTCTTTCATCTTCTATTCTACAAGTACTCTGCTCACAGACTAACACATACTCACACATACGCTTACAGACACACACATACTTACAGATACACAAAATATTAAATGTCCACCCAGCCTCCCTACCTGAAGAGCTCATGTGGATCTGTCCCTGGGGTCCAGTGGGACTTCACTTTGGTGGGGGGCAGAGTTCTAATCCGAAGCGGCGAGGGAGCTGTAACTACTCTGCTCCCTCGTGGGCTGTCTACTGCTACCAGGAGCCGGAATATGATGTCATATTCCAGCTCCTGTGGCATCAGCAAACATTACACGAGGGAGCAGAGAGGTTAGAGCTCCCTCGGCACCTTGGATTAGAACACTGCCGCGCCGTGGGGTTCAGAAGGTGGCCTGGCAGGAGGGAGCACTTCCCTCCTGCCGGTCACTGAAATCTTGCACCCCCAAGCCGCTCACGCCCGCCCACTCTAAAAAGGAGAAATCCTCTCAAAAAGAGGATTTAGCTGCTGAAATCCCTACCGCCCAACTGGAATCCTAAAACGCCCACTAGTGGGCGGTAAGGACCAGGTTGACGACCCATGACCTAAACCATCCTTTCTAAGGTAAGTCGCTCAAGCTGTTAAAATAAAGAGCGGTTTGTAGTCCTTAAAAATCATACCATTCAGCAGTGAATCAACATTTCAATAAACAAGCATGCAAATCTTAGGAATGTACACCAAAATAAATTCATTACAATATCGCATGTGTAGATCAACAAATAGCAATTCCATAGACAGCACACAGAAACGTTTTAATTTTTACAAAGCTACTTAAAATCCTGTATCTTACCAAATAAATATGGTTACATCATATGGCCATACTGATTTAGCCCACTACTGTGACAAAGTACCCTAATATCTGTGGGTCTTACACTAATGCTAAATTATTTCAGAATCACTGGTTTGTAGATATCCTCCCAATGAAAACATGCATGCATTTAACTATGCATTTTTTCACTGGGAGATTATCTAAAAGCGGCTTGAAAAAGCTGCCCGTCTCTTATCTGAATCATTTGCAAGCCCTCCCCTTCTTGCCCAGATGGTCTGTGACTGTCTAATCATAGACTTCCCAAAGTAGCTCAATTAGAGTTTAGTTCCACTGATCTAAACTAGCAGGAAGAAACTCCTGGTAGGAGGTTTTACAAGGTTAATTTATAAAAGTGCCAAAATGTATTGTATCTGCACGTTTTACACACAAAACACTTCAGCAAGCTAAATTGTCCCTTTATAATGGTTCCCAAAGATTATAATAGAAGTTAACAGGTAGTTGCCATTTGGTTACATCTTTTTTTTTTCCTGAGATTTAACGACAGCCACAATTTAAAAACCTGCCTCTGGTTAGTTGAAACACAAAATCAATTTAACAATTGATAAACTTCCTGTTTATCATATAGAGAGCCAATCTGGTCTCTCCAATAATACCAAGTAGAGGCTCAACCAAATCACCTAAGAATGCATGATGAATTGCTGAAAATATTTAAAACAGAAAAGACCGATTTGCAACAATAAAAATGAAAAAACAAATGAAAGCCCACAAAATTCAACTTAGCCCATGGAGAGGTCTCTGCTCAAAGTTATAAACACCTACCCATGCTTTGAATGCGCATGCAGAACTCATTGTTCTGAGAGACTAGTTTTGCCTCATGAGTCTTATCTGGTAGTGGGTATTAAGAGATAAGCTTGAGATATAAAACTTGCATGTCAGAATGCTGTGATTGATTATTCAACCAATAATAATATTCTGAGTGAGCACTCACAGCATGCCTTGAATGCTTAGCATGAAACCCTCCATAGGCTCACTTGAATTATTATTGATTGAATTGTAGTTTGTTCGTTTTTTGGTGAAGTTTTTTTTGTTTGTTTGTTTTTTTAACCTTTATTTTGGAGCCAAAAAAAGAATATTTAGCAACATAAACTTCAAATATAAAGTATAAAATATTTTTATTGGACCTTAACTAACCCACTTCTCCCTCCCTGATATTTGCTCCCACAAATCATCATAATACTATTATCAATTAGTTCCTGCCATCTGTTTCATATATCATTATTATTGCAGATGTCTCTCCGACCTCTACTCCTTATGTCACTTCACATAAAAAGAAATAGAAGAAAACTAGATTTGCACCAAAACCAAACAATAATGAGGAGTACAATATTCTAATCTTACAGGGGTGTATTCCTAAGGAAACCAGTCTATTACATCAGCGTATTGTATCATTTCTTATATTACAGTAAAGGAGGTGCATTACCAATTCCAGGCCACTAGATGGTGGTCATGTCGCTCTGATAATTCTCTACAAATATATATGAATGGAGTTACTCTCCAAAAGCAATTTATGTTCTAATAAATGAAGCTACCTAGGTAGTAACTATAAACATATAAACTGATGAAGTGGATCTGGCTTTACTTGTAAATTGGTAACACAGCACACTTCGAAATAACAAAAGCAAAAGTGGCTACCATACCCTCATTCTATAAGTTTGATGACTTAATCAACCCTGGAGCTTAAGAAAAACTATATATTAAAACTATATATTATTACTATTACCTCAACCATAAATGTAGCATAATGATCGTCTACTTTACCTCCCATCTATGGCATAAGCAAGTTAGATGTGATCAATAAGTTAATATATAAGTACTGACACCTTTGTAACCTCATCTAAAAAATGCACTATTGGTATTACTATGGAAATAAATTTAAATTTCAGTAATAAATAGTGCACCTAACTCAGGGCACTCAAAGCCAATAAAAAGCAATGTAAAAAAACATAGAAATGCACACCATGCCTGGGCCAAAATAGCACAAACACAGGTACATTAAATTAGACATATGCAGTGTATAGCTGTCCAACTACAGAAAAAGTGGGTTACTGGGTGCTGTCCACTGTCTTGACTTGAGGTGACAGATCAACCTGTATAAGTGTCCCAACACACAATTTCCTACTGTATCACAAAAACCCATCTATATAAAGAGCAACTCTATGTTGATATTTAGCTTGTAGACATCACAATCTGGTGCAAATTTATAAATGAATATTCCAAATCTAGCCATCTAACATCACTAAATCGTTTGTTCCTACTTGGCCCCAAGAAACTGGTGGCAATGTCTTTACCACCAGTTACACAGACACACATAACAGGCTCTAAAGATTATGCACACTGCCATTGATCTATGGAACATCAGCTTTAATCTTTCTTGCACCAGATACTACCAAGGAGCTTGTCCATGCTCTAATAATTTCACGCATGGATTATTGTAACCCTCTCCTGCTTGGTCTTCCCAAAAGCCATACTGCACCCCTACAGTCTGTAATGAATGCTGCTGCTAGACTGATTTTCCTCTCTAGTCGGTTCTCTCACACCTCACCCCTCTGCCAGTCCTTACATTGGCTTCCTGTGTGCTATAGGAGTCAATTCAAGGCACTAACTCACACCTATAAAGCACTGAACAACTCTAGCCCCTCTTATATCTCCTCACTGATCCACAGGTATGTCCCTTCTCGGTCTCTCCGCTCTGCCCGTGACCACCTCCTGTCCGTTGTCCGCACCCGTACGGCCAACTCGCGCTTGCAGGACTTCTCGCGGGCGGCTCCCTTCCTATGGAATAGCCTGCCTACCGCCATCCGACTCTCCCCTAGTCTTGCATCTTTTAAGAAGTGCCTTAAAACCCATCTCTTTAGGAAAGCTTATGGCCTCCAAGACTAACCCCTATCTCACATACCCGTCTCTTGCCCTCTCCTAAAGGGCAGCCCACCTTATTTGATTGCACATTCCTGTCCTAATGTGTTTTACACCCCACCTCCTATAGAATGTAAGCTCGATTGAGCAGGGTCCTCTTCAACCTATTGTTCCTGTAAGTTTATTTGTAATTGTCCTATTTATAGTTAAATCCCCTTTCATAATATTGTAAAGTGCTACGGAATCTGTTGGCGCTATATAAATGGCAATAATAATAATAATAATAATAATGAACATTCCAAACATTATAACTATTACAGCTTACTATAAACCCTCACAGGTGGGGATGTGCATGGGCAAAAAATTTGGTTTGATTCGGAAATTCGGATAAGTAAAAAAATTTGTCTTCTTTAGCATTTCGGACCAATGGCATTCGGTTTGGGACTTCGGCAATTCGAAACTTCAGTAATTCGGACTCTAACCACTTGTTTTGCCCCTAACCCCTAAGTGATGGAGAATTAATTGTTTTACTTATGCAATGCTTAGTGAATATTACTCTAGACATACAGAGCTATAAAGAAATATATACATTAACCTATGAGTGTATTACATAACGAGACGTGGATTTAATAACATGTATTATCCTCTGTCTACAAATACCTGGACAGGCTCTCTTTGGATGGTTTTGTGAGTGGAAAAGGCCAAAGGAAATAGAGGTGAAGAAATAGTTAAAGGGATTCTCCAGTGCCAGGAAAACATATTCGTTTTCCTGGCACTGCAGGTTCCCGTAGTGTCCCTCTCCCTCCCACCCCCCATTCCAAGTTGCTGAAAGGGTTAG